TTCAAAAATTTGAATTGCTCGCTCAAATGACAAATCGTGACAAAAAATGAAAAAAATTCCGGACCGCCTTTAAAAAATCAGTACTATTTCTGGACTTTCCGAAAATTCCGGAATCGTGGACACCCTGCTAATTCACTGTCAACCTCCATCATTCTCGTTTCCCTTTCTGTGTATTTTAAAACGAAAATAAGAATTGAAAAAGGTGAAAGTCACAAAATTCAAGTTTTCTTCTTTCATCTAAATTATTAAATTGAATCAAAATTTCTTCCGCCCTTTTAGATCGGAATTTCCGCACTTTTTCAATACTTCCGGAATCGTAGACACCCTGCTAATTCACCCGCGTCATTCACGGTCAACCTCCATCATTCTCGTTTCCCCTTATGTGTATTTTACAAGGAAAATCGCGGAATTGAAAAAGGTGAAAGTCACGAAGTTCTAGTGAAATCTGTACTTTTTCAGTACCTCCAACTGACGAAATTCGAAAATTTTCAAAAATTTGAATTTCTCGCTCAAATGACAAATCGTGACAAAAAATGAAAAAAATTCCGGACCTCCTTGCGGAATTACCGCACTTTTTCAATACTTCCGGGCCGCCTTTAAAAAATCAGTAGTATTTTTGGACTTTCCGAAAATTTCGAAATCGTAGACACCCTGCTAATTCACTGTCAACCTTCATCATTCTCGTTCCCCTTGCTGTGTATTTTACAAGGAAAATCAGAATTGAAAAAGGTGAAAGTCACGAAATTCAAGTTTTCTTCTTCCATCTACATTATTTAATTGAATCAAAATTTCTTCCGCCCTTTTAGATCGGAATTTTCACACTTTTTCAATACTTCCGGACCGCCCTTAAAAAGTCAGTACCATTTCTGGACTTTCAGAAAATTCCGGAGTCGTAGACACTCTGCTAATTCACTGCCAACTTCCATCATTCTCGTTTCCCTTTCTGTGTATTTTACAAGGAAAATCAGAATTGAGCATAGTAACCTACGGGTGTGAAGTATGGCCGATGAAACAGCGGACCCGGGAGGTTTTAGAGGCAACAGAGATGGACTTCTGGCGTAGATCCGCTGGTATTTCCAGAAAAGATCGCGTCAGGAATGAGACGGTACGGGAGATCATGGATGCCAAACAGACCATCGTGCATGACATTATGACAAAACAACTCATTTGGTATGGTCATGTCCAGAGAATGGCAGGAGACAGGTTGCCGAAGAAGGTCCTTGACTGGGTTCCTCCTGGGAGAAGACGCAGAGGGCGCCCAATGAAAGGTTGGAGGGAAGGGATTGAAGCGGAAATGTTAAGGTGCGCTCAATCCCCCAAGATTTGTGGTTTGAAAGAGAGCAGTGGAGGTTAGGAGTCGTAGAGCGCGAGGAAGTGCTGTAAAGCGACTTTTATATATAGAAATCAGAATTGAAAAAGGTGCAAGTCACGAAATTCAAGTTTCCTTCTTTCATCTAAATGATTAAACTGAATAGAAATTCCTTGTGCCCTTTCAGATCCGGAGCGCGGACGCCGCCGAAACTATTCTACGTGATGGAGAGCTCGCCGTGTCGCGGCGTGTTGCTGGCCGCCAGTCTTATCGGAGTGAGGTTGGAGCTGGAGTGGGTCGACCTCCGCAGCGAGGAGGACAAGCGACAAAAACTGGAGGTTAAGAACCCTGCGAAACAGGTGCCTACCCTGGACGACAACGGCTACTACCTCGGCGAGAGCCGGGCCATCATCATGTACCTGGCCAACGAGTACATGGGCTCGGACGACTCGCTGTACCCTAGGGACGCCAAGAAACGCGGGCTCGTCGACCGGATGCTCTTCTTCGACATGGGCACGCTCTTCAAGAGTTTCGCCGACTACTACCTCCCGTTCATGTTCGCAGGTAAGTGATTGTAGATGTCGCAGACAAATAGTCAAATCCCTAGGCAAATAGTCGAATGGACCGCGTTATACAGAAAGGGCCACATCGGCTATTGCCAAATTTAATCGGGCAATTTAATTTTTTACATAAAAACGGTTGTGCGGATTTTTGTGCAAATTTCTATGAATTTCCTCCATAATACAAAGAGAATTCCTTCAAATTTTCAAAGGAATCTGCACAAACGTTCTCTCTCAAAAAATAAAATTTCCCTGTTAAATTTGGCAATAGCTGATGTGGCTTGGTTCTTTTCTGTTTAACGCGGTCCAAATATGCTAACTTACACGGTGAAAAAAACCTCGCGCGTGGGACCCAAAGTTTAGGTCATATGGATCTCTGAAGTTTTCGGATTGAGCATCCGAACACTCAAGGTCCAGCTGCTGAGGTTTGGATCACACATCTGAAACTTCAGTTCTTACATCTGAAGTACTTCCGTTTTCACATCCGAAAAACTTCGGTTCTCACATCCGAAAAACTTCGGTTCTCACATCTGAAGTACTTCAGATGTAAGAAACGAAGCTTCAAATGTGTGATCCAAAGCGCGACAGCTAAACCTGAAGTGTTCAGATGCTCAATCTGAAAACTTTAGGGATCCATATGACCTAAACCTCGGGTCCCACGTGCGAGGTTTTTTTTCTCCGTGTAGATAGAAATTCTGATTCTTTTCGTAATTTCAGACGAAATAATTCATTGCTCCAGCAAGAAAAAATTCTCAGTCAAGATGTGCACCACACAATAAATAGTATTTTAAACGATTTATAGCGCCTGAACAGATACTGATATTGAAATTTTTAGCATGTCATAAAATACAGGATTTCCTGAATTTCAACATTTAGAAGCATGAGAAGCAGTTGAAGAGGAAGAGACAAAACGTGTTCGTAGGTTTGATGAGTTATTTATCCAAAAATAGTGAATAAATTCACAAAATTTTGTGGACCTTCAAAATTTGACTACCTGCCTAGGCATTGGACAAAATGCCTCATTTCACCATTTGCCTGTGACATAGACACGGAAAAAGTTGAGTAGCATTTACCATAGGTACTCAGGTTAAGAACGGCACAATCAGACAGTATGGTAACTTCCACCAAAATTATTGTCACGATAAGAAAAATATTGTTACTTTCACGATAATTTTGATGAGGGTTACCATACTCTCTGATTGTGCCGTTTTTTAACAAGAATAATGTGGTAAAAGCGACCTTGTTAAAATTAAGCAGTGTAACTTATAACCTCCCCTGGACAGCAGATCTCTACTATCGGGTAGCCTGGAAATGAAAGTTTAAAATTATTGTAAATAATTAAATAAATTCACTAAAAAAAATCTCGGTCTATTAATTAAGAAAAGGGTAAAATTACCAAGAATTCAGGATTCTATTTGATCCCAGTTTTTTCTCGGTAAAATCACCATTTATGGAATTTTACCGAGAAATCTCGGTAAAATTGTTGAACTTTCTCGGTAATTTTACTGGACCTTGGTAAAAATGCCAATATTTTTGATCGACTGTGGTAAAATTACCGGGATAAAATGGCAAAGTTACCGGGAATTGATTACCAATAAAAGTGGTATTCTTACCTGAAAAAAAAACAGTAAAAATACCGGTTTTTAGGTGAAGTTACCAGTCCGTCTTGGTAAAATTACCAATAATTGGTAAAAAAAGTGAGATGGTAAAGGTACCAACGGACCTTGGTAAAAACGCCAAGGATTTTTTTTCAGTGAATAAAGGCAGATGATGATGATTCTTATTATTACATTATTACATGTTTGAAGGTGTCATTCCAACCCAAAGACGGCTGGACGATGTCAAAAAGGCCTTCGCGGTTTTCGACAGGATGTTGGCGGGTAGCGACTACGCTGCTGGTGACGCGATTACTATAGCTGATGCTGCTCTGGCGGCGACGGTGTCGACAATCGAAGTGGTTGAAGTGCTCAATATCGAAAATTATCCGAACGTGTGGGCATGGTATGGTCGTTGTAAGGAGAATCTGCCAGATTACGAACAGGCCAATCCTGCCGTGGAGTTCGAGAAATTCGCTATTGCTGTCATTACCGATCGTAAGAAAAGAGCGGAATCGCAGGGACAATGAGAGTCATAGTCTCATATCATTTCGATTCTTTAAGTACCTGTTTCAGAAAAAAAAAAAAGTTCTAATTGAATTGGTATTCACTTTGTCTGTAATCGCATACACCTTTTTTCAGGAACAACTGCTGTTTTAAATGTTCAAATATGGGCTCATAAGTTATTTTTAAGATTTCACAGAAAAAATTGATGAGAAGAAAAGGCTCTGGTGGTATGTCTATAATCGCATCCATATTTTTCAGGAGCAATTACTGTTTTAAATGTTCAAATATGGACTCATAAATTATTTTTAAGATTTTAAAGAAAGAATGGACGAAGGAAAAGGGCTCAAATGGAGGAAAGACTATCAGTGGCTTGCATAAAAACTTGAATCAGAGGGGAGCTAAGGATATTAATGTTCCGATGAAAATTCCAATGATATCGCTATTGAAAAAAAAAAGTTGCTTGTATCCAGAATTGGATTCATTTTTTCAGGTTTTTCAAGCCTGCAATTGCATTTATTGCGTCGCCGTTACCATGCAAATGCAATTTTTGAGCATATTTCTGGTATATATTATTGTATAGGCTTAAGTGGCATTAGCATTGACTTTGTTCCGTACATTTTCTACCTTGTCATCAATTTTAGGTCGAGATATCTTTAATGTCACATTATTTGTGGTATTTATCATTTCAGTTTCTGTTATAAAACTACGTGTGTTTCTGCAAGTCAATTGTATTGTTTCTTACGGTACACGGAAAAAAAGAGCTTAGGGTTGGGACCTACATGTTAGTGCTGGGCACTAACGAGGGTTAGATCAAATGGAGCCAGCAAGTCAGAGGAGTGCTGGGCACTAAACAGCTCGAGGCTGGGTCACTAAGGAAGAAGTAGTGTCAAGCCCTAAAGTGACTTTGGAGCGAGCGTAAAATATGAAATGCCTCGGCCTGGGATCGAACTTGGGTTGCTCCGATGGAAGACCAGCGCGTTACCACCAGGCTATCGAGGCTCGGACGTCTCAAGGGTGAATTTACACCTGTTAAGCGCAACTACGTCTCTCGGCATCTGATTAGCACTACTCATGTTCAGTGCCCACCTGTACTGCCTTCCGGCGTTGAGCTGTACAGCGCTTAGACGCCAGCCCTCAACTACTCCCCACTAAACGGCCAGTAGTGCTCAACACTAGTCTTGTTTTTTCCGTGTATTATTGCACTAGCTCATTTCCTCATCAAAAGAATGGAAATTGAAGATAGCTTTTCGTTTGGAAATAATAGATGAATTAACAGCATCTATTTGTTTTCCAAGAACAATTATACCTTTACATTTTCAGAATTGGCTTTTACATTTCAGCTTGTAAATTGTTTTTAGGATTGCAGTATGAGAGTGGATCAGGGAAATAAGCCCCGGTGGGGAAATGACTATTAATGGATATCATTAAATCTTGACAGTGTAAATCGCAGGAAAGTGAGGATATTCATTATTTAGACTAAGATTTCGATGATTTTGCAATTGAAATCTTTATTCAGAGTTCGTGACCTAGTTTTATGAGCGAGAACGGTGCACTGATATGAAGCAATAACAAGGAAAACTCATTCCAAAATACTTTGGGAATTCGAATAAAAGTCCCGTATAGGCTTCTTAATTAGTCGAGTTTAGAGCGTGGGCGATCCACTCACGTATGTACGTTTTAATCAATAAACTTATTTTATATCATGTTACGCTGGCTTTATCTAATGATCTAATATCCTAAAGTTTTTTTTTCCCCGTACATGAATATGGTTTAAATTCCAAGAGTTAGATTGAAAAAGCAGAGAGTTACTTGGAAACTTATCTTGTACACCTTGAACTATACCTATTGCCAGGGCCGGATTTAGAAGGCCGGTTTACATGGGCCGCGGCTCATGGCGGCAAATTTTGCAATTTTTTTAAAATATAGGTATAAAAAAAATTACAAACGAGAAAAGGCGACAAAATCTTTAATTTCCTGAGAGTAAAGTAATTTCTAATTTTGTCATTTTACGGTGGTAAAAGAGACAGCACCTTTAATTAGTCGAGTTATATGTATAAGAGAAACAAAACACGGAATTTGGCCTGGAACGGCGCGGCGCAGGGATCAATGATGACGAGGATTTGAGATGAAAAGGAGAAGCCCTCGGCGCGGCGGTCGGCATGTAACACATATTAGCGCCTACAAGACTGCATGAATACCTCACGCATTGCGTCAAATACGGTGCGGTCACTGCGGTCAGCGTGAAACGCATAGCGCCTACAAGACTAAAGGAATACTTCATGCATTTTTTTTTTTTTTTTTTTTTTTTTTTTTTTTTTTTTTTTTTTTTTTTTTTTTTTTTTTTTTGTTTTGTTTATTGTCGCAATAAATTACACAGTTATGAAATACACTTACCAGTAAAAGTGCGTAATATATAGATATTAAAGAAAACAATAATGATTTGGACTATAATACAAATTAAGGGGAAAGTTTTGCTGAATAAATAAAATAGAATAAGAAATAAGTGGTAATGAAAATTACTGGAGTCAGCAAGGGTTATTGTTAGCGACGCCGGAATCCGCCAGTTGGCATGCATCAGCAAATATCTGTTTATCTATTATTTCTTTTTTGTTTGTGAGGACGGTTTTAATATATGTACAAATTTTGGACCAATTTTCCTTGGAATCTAATAAACATTTTTGAAAATTTACGGTGGTGAATGTCTTTTTAATTTCTGTCTCAAGAAGATCTCTCTCTGAATTAAATTTATTACACAAGAAAATAGAGTGCTCTGGAGTATCGAGAGCATCAGGGCAGTACGGGCAGAAGGGGGATGGCGATATTTTCATACGGTGAAGGTAGCTGTTGAAAGCGCCATGTCCAGTTAGAACCTGCGTTAGGAAGAAATTTAAGTCGCCAAATTTCCTGGTAAGCCATTCTTCCGGGTCCACAATAAGTTTCTTTAGCCAGGTATCTTTAGAAGGGTCCTGTTGCCATTCCGTGATCCATTCTTCTCTGATCGCAGCTTTGATGGTGGGTTTGTCCGCTTCACGATGGTAGAGGCTGAGTCTTTCCTTAATTAAATGGTTTATATGAGGGATACCACTTATCATATCGATGGCTGCGTTCGAGGCTGTCCTGTATGCCATGCATATACGCAGCTTGAGAGGACGAATGGTTTTTGTAAGAAGCTTCTTGTTTTTGTTTGACACTCCTCCTGCGGCCCAGACATTAACAGCGTAAAAAATGATCGAGAGAATAGCCGAAGCGATAAGCTTCCTCTTCATAAACGAGGGTCCGTCTATGTTCGGAAGAATGCAGCTGAAGGATTTGATAGCATTGGCGGCTTTCTCCGATATTTTCTTGAAGTGCGTGTTTAGAGATCCGTCTTCGTCGAGCCATACACCTAAATATCTCATGAACGGAGCCGGTGTTATAGGGTGATTGACCACTTTGAGCTTGTATTTCCTCTTTTTCTTCTTCTTTTTCCCCACAATTTCGAGGGCTTCCGTCTTGGTGGGTTCAAGAGCAAGTTTAGCTTTTGCCAATTCGTCGTTGATTTCAGACGTTATTTGATTAGTGTTTTTTGTGAGTTCTCGCCTTGTTTTGGTTTCGATAATGATAGCAAGGTCATCAGCATAGGCGATCTTTTCTGCGACGGATTTTGTTGTGAGATTGACAATTTTGTCGTAGCATACATTCCAAAGGTGGGGTCCAATGCAGCTACCTTGTTGTACACCGGAGTTGATTTCAAAAATGAGGCCATTGATTGTGATGTACCTATCTGTAAGGTAGTTTAGGATTATCCGGATTATGTAGGAGGGGATGTTTTTCTCCAGCAAAGACTCGTGAATGTCTCTCCAACTTAAGCTGTTGAAAGCATTTTTAATATCCAAGGTAAGTATAGCCATTGAGGGACGATGTTTTTTGTTGATGTTAAGATTTTGAGTGATTGCGTTTCTGACTTTGTTGATTGCGTCTGTGGTGGAGTGTCCGCGACGAAAGCCATGTTGATTTGGCGACAATTCTAGCTCGGGGAGGAGTCTTCCGGTAATAATCAGCTCGAAAACTTTGCCTAAAATATTGAGCATACATATAGGTCTGAAGGATTTTTCATTTTTCCCAGGATTACCCTTAGAGATCAGCGTTAAACGACCTTTTTTCCATTCGTTGGGGAAAATGCCTTGTTTGAGGTAGTTATTGTACATTTTAAGGCATTCCTGTTTATTTGATCTGATAAACATTTTAGCAAGCTCTGGGTTTATTTGGTCAGGACCGGGTGCTTTACCGTTTTTGATTTTGGAGAGGGCTCTGTCAAGTTCTTCGGTGGTAATGTCAGGGAAATCCTCTTGTACAAAGATAGGCCAATCGCATTTCTCATGTGTTGGAAATAATTTATTGATGGCGGCTATAACTTCTTGATCTGAAAGGGAGGCTTGGTCATGAGTTGGCGGGGATTTTAGTTTTCTTTTCCTAATCTTGTAAGCACGACCCCAAATGTCTTTTTCTAGCTCGTTAATCCAGCCGCTCCAAAGTTTTCTCTTAGCGTTTTTCATTTCAATGCGTAGATTTCTTTTGTCAGATCTGAGCTCGTTGAAAAGGCGGTCTCATACTTCATGCATTGCGTCAAACATAGTGCGATTGACGCGGCGCGGCGCGGCGGCGGTGGAAGTTAAAATTATTCGACCACATTCATGTTTGTTCTTTCATAATGTTTTCGATCATTTCTTTTAAATAGAGGGCCTTGTCCACACGGAGCTAGGTTTACGGAACTTAACTTTCGCGCCAAGTTCCGTGAATTTTTGCTAGGAGTGTTGACAGGGCTTCCGCAAAAAATATGTCCAACACAAGTAAACGCGTCTTATGCATCCCTCTCCCTCTGGCACGTTCACTTGATGGTTTTTGTTGATATTTCAAAACGAATCAGAAGGGAACGGCAAAATACAGGCGGCCCATGGGCGGCAAGTAGGTAAATCCGGCCCTGCCTATTGGACCTATATAATATACTTACAACATTCGTACGTGCTAAGTGATATCATGTACCTACGTTGTATATCATGAGAAAACTTGAAGATAGGACGAAAGATATGCAAGAGGTCGTAAACGTTTAGTTATGTTAATACGTCGAAACATGTACTCTATGGTCCAAACTTTTACAACATTTTTCTCGAAAACTCGGTTTTTTGCTTTCAAACTTTGAGATGCTCCTAAGAAGTAAACTCTTGGAATTTTTAGGGTGTTCGTGCAAAATATTGCAGGATTAAGTGATTAAATCTGAGGTAAAATTATCACATTTCTTTTTATTATTCCATCTTACTCTAGCGTGACTCCGTCACAATTTTAAGGAACAAAGTTTCAAAACATTATTTGAGGAGCATTGTTATATTCATATGAGTATTTTGAAGCAGGTCGCTAGAAGGAGGATAATTATGGAGTATGATGATCGGGAGGCAAAATTGTGTGATTGTGCGATAGAGCTGAGAACCAGACCAGAGAAAGGCCTCATTCTGATGCATTTACTCTCGTCCGAGTCAAATGTTTTCACTTTATCTCTGGAAAATAAAAATAATTTACTCAAAACACAATTAACATAATGATTTAAAAGCCATTAATACCTATACAGCATACGGATTGGGTTGTTATTTCTGATATTGCGTTTGATCATAAAAACGAATAAAAGCAGAATCTAATAAAATGAGGCAGATCCGACAAAAATGCTTGGGTCCAGCAAGAAACGTGGCTAAAATTCGTCATTTCCTGGACGAAGGAATATAACTACATTCCAATGTTGTTAATTTGACCAAAAAATTCAATTTTCTTTTTACAAAAATGCACCTGTGCGATTTTTGTCAAACATTTTTCTGACTTTCGGACGAGATCAAATGAAAAATCAATGATATTTTCAGTTAGAAATGTCCAAGATTCCTCGGCTAGAATTGCGATTTATTAGAAAAAATTTGGCAACATAGAAATGTAGTTACGTTTTTCAGTGGTAGAGGCGACAAATTAAGCGACATCGTTCTTGATTTATGAAAAAAATGTTTCTGCTTATTGGCGGCAAATTTAAACGCAACCATGTTTGCGCCATGCTCTAAATACGAAGAAAGATTGAGAGTAAAACGGAGGATATTACTGAGGAGAACAATTAGTTACAATCTTTGCTGTAGAATATCAAGTAATGAAATTGAGAAATCACTTGGATTGCATTTTGCAAAAAGGAACCACTAGCATTGCAATGATGCTAAGATAGTGCAAGTTCATCCTTTGCAATACAATTGCGGAAATTGTGAAAAACTATGAAAAGATGGTAATTTTTGTCTTAAATTTACAGTTTTCAGCGAGTAAAATAGAAACTATTAAGGGATAATCGGGTTTTTCCTCCAAGACAAAAGAAGTTGCACAATCTTAGCAACATTGCAATGCTAGTGGTTCCTTTTTGCAAAATGCAATCCACTTATACGTGTGGCCTCTAAAATTGTCATTGACGTTTTAGGAGACCACTTCAAAAGCTGGGATCATGATGTTGGAGTAGGGATGCGAAAACTTCATTGCTACATACACGGATCTTTTTGAAGGAATACTGAAAGTTCGAAACAAAATCCAATACCCAATAGTTTCCTGTCAAAGGCGGTCGCTGGACACGATAGAAGTTTTTGAGTCAAGTCAAGTATGAAAGAAATTGTTGTCGGTGGTTCATTTACAGGCAATTGGTTTTGTCGGTCTCCTGAGGTGTAATGTTTGTAGCGCTGGCTCTATAGTGAGGAGGTCTCCAGTTCGCTTTCCGGCCAGGCGACCCGAGTTTGACGGTCTCAAACAACGGTTGCCTCGAGCTGGTACAAAGTAGGGACGGAGGGGGTAGGGCTCTAAGTGGCAGCGCAGGATTACCACTTGTGTGGTAGTTGAAGTGGTGGAAAAAAAAAACAAAAACAGAGATCTCAAAAATACATGATATGTGAACATTAAGTTGGATAACATACCCGATTCCTAGACCGGAGTTGATGCTGCTCGTGTGAACATACATTGTTTCCGGTAAATGGTTCGCTGAGTATTTGGCACAAACTTCCTCAGTTTCTGATCCAATGTTCATTAGGACTGCTATTTTTTCGGTATCGATTGACCTAAAATTATGAAAAACATGTGAGATTCTTTCGAAGGGCCAGATGCGGAAGCCCACCCGAAGTTCTGATGCCAGATGACGTTCTGATGTAATCCGTCAACTGTAATCTGAAGAATTACACTAACGGTTCTTTTGAACTCTTTTAGCTTAAAGCCGGCGCGCAGTCATGGCCAAGAAAATTTTCAGCCCAACTAGAATGGTGCGTGTTGCCAAATACAATTGAGTGATGCTAAGAAACACAAAACAGGAAGCAGTTCACATTATCAAAGGATGCGATTTTGGAGCTGTAAATCCAACACTTTCAAAGCTATTCAAACCTTTCAAGCATGGCAATACTTAGAGATTACGCGAGAGGCGCAGTAATTAAGGATCAGAGTGAATAGTTGGATTGCATTTTGCAAAAAGGAACCACTAGCATTGCAATGATGCTAAGATTGTGCAACTTCATCTTTTGCAATAAAGTTGCGGAAATCGTGAAAAACTATGAGCATTAGATGGTATTTTTGTCTTAAATTTACAGTTTTTAGCGAGTAAAATAGAAAACATTTATGGATAATCGGATTTTCCTCCAAGACAAAAGAAGTTGCCCAATCTTAGCAACATTGCAATGCTAGTAGTCCCTTTTTGCAAAATGCAATCCAGTTGATGATGAATTAGGATCTAACCTCGTGAACATGTAGACCCAATCTTTGGGGACGTAAGTGTTCAGATCTCCATATCGAATAACGTGCGATCTCCTCAATGCTACGAGGCGTTTGTAAATGTTGAGATGACTCCCATGATCCCGCCTTTGGGCCTCCACGTTAGTCTCCCAGTAGTTAGGATTCACCGGTAGCCAAGGTTTCTTCGCCGTTGTGAATCCTGTAAAACGTTATAAATAATGCGATACAGTGGAAAATGAGGTGTGTACATGTTTGAATATCACTCTTTTCAAAAATCGCCTCAATTTCCTGAAATCGGTAACAGGGACTAGATCGAATGTTTTTAATTTGTTGATTAACGGGAAACTTTCTTCAGGTTTAGTTGGAATACAAGAAAACTAAACTCCGTCGCTGCCTCGTATACAGAGGCAGAATACATGGCCGTATTCGAAGGGGTTAGGGAGGCTCTCTGGCTGAAGTCATTACTGTGTAGCGTAAATTTGGCAATACAACGGCGAATTTCTATCTATAAGGATAATAACGGTTGTATCAACATTGCTAACAACCCATCTAGTCACAAAAGATCGAAGCACTTCGATGTCAAATATCACTTTTCCCGAGAGCAAGTTGGAGAAAATACTTTTGTACTTCATCATTTGTCCACAGGTGATCAGCCAGCAGATTTGCTCACGAAGCTACTACCAACTCCGACCTTTTTGAAATTCAGAGCTGAATTTGGGCTCCAATTAACTGGTAGCAAGTGAGAGATTTGATGAGGTTTTCATCTAGGTTACCCTTATCCTAGGAATGAATGTTGGATCTATTTGTTTTTCTTCCCAGTTATTCACAAGTTAATTTAAAGAATTTTTTTATGACGTTTCACACCAATATTTAAAAAAAAATATACATTTAATTATGTCAAAATTTTAATCTCAAGATTTCATTCTCAAGATGTTAAAAATTCCGCCTCGAGGTCAATTTTTGAGGTTAGGGGGCAGGGCCCCCTAGTATACACATACTTTTGCACATTACTTTTTATTAGAACAGGATCTGAGCTCGCATATCATTATTGAAAATTGGCTAAAAGCTCAGTATTTGATTCAATTCCAAAATGAATGAAAATTACCAGCATTCCTAGTATCGTCCCACATCATGGGACCCCTTGGACCATCCCGGGTCCCGGTCCTGCCGTTGCCTTGGTTCCCGGGGTCCTGGCGTTGCTCCTTCCTCGGCTTGATATCCTGCATGCCGAGCTCACTCCCGTAATATATACTCGCCACTCCCGGCAAAAGCAAGGCCAACATGTTCCACGCGTCCACGCTCTCCGGTTGGTATCTCGAGCTAACTCGGTTATTGTCGTGGTTATCTAACTGAATTACACACAAAAATCCATTCAGAATATACTTCAACAAAATCGTAATATATCATTGTTAAAGCACTGCTGAAAGTGTAGTACAACACAAGTCTAGCCTAACACAAACAGGGTAATTAAGCATCGCGTCCATGATATTGGACTACACGATCACTTTAATGAGAGATAATTTTTTCAGAGAAATCGAAGTGAGCATAGCGTCCAAAAATGTGGGATGCAAGAATTCTGATGACACACGAGCATATGGTCCAAAAATTTATTAAGACAATTTTTGTGAAATAAAGACGAAAAAATGTAATACGTAAAATATTGTGCATTGGTTAGGTTAGTTTAGGATAGTTCAAGTTAGATTAGATAAGAGAAGTATACGATTTTCTATCATGATGAACTTTAAAACTAAGAAAGGTCCACTTGTTATTTTACTCCATGCTCAAGCAAAGAAGTGAGAGGTTTAGCGATGAGCATGGAGTCCACGATCTTGGACGTGATGAGCAGGCAAAGTATATCAAGGGTGAGCATGGAGTCCAATATCATGGACGCGATGCTACATAATCCACAAATAGTTCTTCCTCTAATGATGAAACGTAACTTGATGGTATCTGGAGCTGACTCTGTTGTTGTCGTGGTTATCTAACTGAATTACACACATCAATTCAGAAAATATTTAAACAAAATCTAAATATATGATTGTCAAAGCACTGCTGAAAGGTTAGTGCAACACAAGTCTAATCTGACACAAATTGTTCTTCCCCTAGCGACGGAACGTAATTTTATTCCAAAGCATCAAATTCACGAAAAAAAGAGGTAGGAGTTAAGTCCGAACTTGGAAAATTCCAATAAATTGTGGTAGTAACGCAATAAATTAGGTTCATAACCTCCAACAACTTGGGGTCGTACCACAATTTCAGGGTTTCATACCACATCCCTGACCCTTCTGCCTTCCTTGTGTTGAGCCAAACGATTCAATTTTTACAAGGAGTAGAGTATGTAATTTTTAAGAAAAATTTGGTTGATTTTTGCTTGTGATTCAAAGATAAATGTGTGAATTTTTAATGTAAATACTCTTTACAGTTTCCTTATAAAAATACAATTCGTGATGAGGGAAATTTTGCTGTGTTACATTCTGTTGTGACATGAACGACAAAAAATGTCATGATTTCTTGGGAACAACTTTGTCTGAAGGCAGGTCGGTGCTTTCAAACTGACTAAAAATTACTTCTTTCTGTTTGATTAGTTTGATTACATTTTTCAATAAGGAACCAATATTTCTGGCCCATTTCAGAAACAACATACAAGTCATCAGTTTCCTTATGCAGATATGTGCTTTCATGGGAGAGCCAGACATGAGGGTCCTATTGCAAAATGTAATCGATTGGTGCGAGAGATAAAAGATAATTAAATATCGAGACAATATGTTTATTTTTGACGTGTATCGATCAAAATTATTCTCGTACAATGTGCACCATCACTTATTTGCGTGGGGTTGTGGAAGGTTTGCTTCAGTGGTCTGGCATTCTGGCATCCTTTGGGATATACCGATTAATATGATATTTAAACCTATGGAAGTGATCGACATTCAGGGCATCGGACACCTTGATAATCGACTCTTTTGGCGCGTATACGTAGTATACCGCCTTTGCGATCGTTTCGACCCCCCACTCGATACAATATTGGCGCGTATACGTAGTATACCGCCTTTGCGATCGTTTCGACCCCCCACTCGATACAATAACCGAGTCCCTTAGTTCCTTACCGAAAAGTGACTACCGCGAACTTCTGAGATTTTCCAAAGCGTGTAAAATGTTTATTTATCCGTCAATAATTATGATTTAAAGTTGTTTCTCATTCTGGGGCTCATTAGTTTATGTGCAGTGAATACCAAGAGTCTACGTTACTTGGTTTTTTTAAAAAAAGCCTAAGA